ATCACCTGGAAGCTTTGTATACCGTGCATTCAGACCTGCCATCCATCCATTTGTCTTTGGGCTGCTCCTCTCCTCACCATCGCGGCCCCTGCGGGCGGTGATAGTGATGGGGCGTTTTCTCTTTTGGTCGGTTACCGATGTGGGGGAAATGGCGCATGCTGCTGCCGGGCTCTGCTCGCCGAATGTGTCGACCTAGACAGAGACACGAAGATCCCGATTGAAAGGCCTGGATCCATCTCATTGTTTACCGTTGACAGGGTCTCGTACCCTCGAGGGAGGGCATGCCGGCGCTCTCCAGCAGCAGCAGCAGGCTGGGCGGCAGCAGCAGCAGCAGCACGGATGGCATGCAGGTGGGCCAGAGTCTACAACAATCCATCAATCCATCCACCACATCACACAGCCCGTATACACCTCTCGCACTCCCATTTCCCGCCCTTGTGTACCTGGCGTGCTGCTTGTCGTCCGGCCTTATCCGTCATGTCGATGACGGACCCTGCCCTGCCATCCGCTGCTTCAGCAGCAGCAGCAGGAGTCTGCCGGCCCCCGACAGCATGATCCTCCAAACCAGTCGCCCGTGGCCGAGTGTGGAACGGCCGCTGGCGATGACGACGAAGGTCGCCCGGGCGATCTGGCTTGGACGGGAGCTGACCAGCAGATCCTGAAGGCACAGACACAATTAGAAAGACAGAGATCTTTCATGAATCCAACGCCATGCGATATAGGTCTTTTCATTTTGGCCCATCGGACATCGCTTCTCCTCCTTTCTCACCCTGATTGAGGGGAGATGGCCGTGCTGCGCGCATAGTCCTCCCTGATCCGGCTGGCGGGGCGGTTGTGTGGACGAGAGAGAGGGACAGCGAATGATGTCGAGCTCACTGGCGGCTGTCGTCTCCTCTTCTGGGCACAGGATGGCCACCACACTGGCGACGAAGAGGGTGGCCATCTCGAAACACATGAGCCCAAGCCCCAGTGCCGCCGTGACAGCGCTGCCTGCCGCCGTGACAGCCATGGCCCCACCGGCCGTCACTGCCGCTTTGGTGGCGAGGGCGGCGCCGACAGCGAAGATGGTCTCGACGAAGGGCATCTCGGTGGGCCGACATGAAGGGGAGGCGAGAGAGAGAGACTAGGATGGAGGGAGGGGGCTGCGTGAGAAAGGAAAACAATTCCCCTCGCGATATAAAATGTAACCAGCGATAGCCACTGCACACAAACAGACAGAGACATAAGGCCAGATCACCTGGAAGCTTTGTGTGTTTTGCGTACCTGCTTGTCTTCAACCCGCTCGACACACACATCGACCACCCCCCTTATTCAGCAGCATCACCACTAGCACCACTAGCACATGCATGTGTGTATAGAGTTGGTTGCAGCTGTCGAAATCACACCGTACACATCAGAAATCACATTCCATCCATCATACTTATCCCCTCATGCCTATCTATTCCCCTCTCCCTCTCCCGGCTCGCCCGCTCTAGCTGCATGTGTCTGTGTGTGTGCGTAGTTCAGTAGCGGGCCTTCTTCTTGCACTGGGCGTAGAAGTCGCGCGCCGCCTGGGAGGCACACTGCGGGACGAGGGGGCCCAGCTGCTGCTTCTTAATGAACCCGTCCAGCTCCTCTCGGAGGCAGGCGTCGTCCTCGGCCTTGCGCTTCTTCGCGGCCTTGCGCCTTTCCTTGCGGCGCTCTGTCTCCTCCTTGCGGGCCTTCTCGGCGGCACGTTCGGCGGCGGCCTGCGCTCGGGCGGCCCTGAGCTCCTCCAGCTCCTTCCTCCCGCCCTTGTCGTATGCCTTCTCCTCTTCCTCGTCCAGGGCCTCGCCGTCGGAGTCCGTGGGGTAGATGATGAGTTCGTCATCGTCGCTCTGAGCAGATAGGCACATACAGGCAGCAGACAGAAAAGGCATTTGTTTGTCCATCCATCCATCCATCCAGATCTGTCTGTGTCAGATCTGTCTGTGTCAGATCTATGTATCTATCCAGCACACTCACCTCCGACGCGTTGGCCTTCCCACGTGTGGCCTTCGCCGCCGCCTACAGAGCCAACAAACACACACGTGGGCGCAGGCACGGAGAGATCTGCGCAGGCGGTATTGTCGGCCGACCTTCTTCTTGGCGTTAGGGTTCACGCCGCGCCGCGCCCGCCCTTCGAATGGCTGTCCAACCCGGGCATGATGCTGACAACAGCTCCTTGGTGATGAGTGCTGCCTTGCTCAGCTCTTCCAGCGCTTCACCTGAGAAGCGACACACACCAAACACACACACGCGCACACACGCTCTCCCCATTCCCTCATATGCTCTCACCTGACAACATGCCTCCTGACGACTGATACTTCTGCACGACCACGTCCCGACTGAGGGAACGCACAAATAAAGGCACACGTTGAATGGACAGCTGCAGCGCATTCATCAATCCATTCCCCCTCTCCTGCCTCCAATGTGCAACTCTTTGCATACCCTGTCGTGCGGCTATCTCCTCACTGCACTTGGCGATCATCTGAGGCTCGTTGAGGCAACGCAGCCCGGCAATCTGGGCCTCCACGAGCCGGTCTTCGAGTTTGTTGCGCACATTCACGATGAACGGCACATGGTTCATGAGCTCATTCAGGTAGTCAGGCTCACTCTCTGCAAACCCCTAACTGAACAACACAGCCGCCAGACAAACACC